GGAAAGGGATCTTGGAGTCATTATTGACTCCAAGATGAACGTGAGCCGCCAATGCCAGACCACAGCCAGCAAGGTCAGCCATACCTTGTCATGCATCCAAAGATGCATCTCAAGCCGGTCCAGAGAGGTGATACTCCCCCTCTATGCGACTTTGGTCAGGCTGCAGTTGGAGTACTGCGTCCAGTACTGGGCGCCACGCTTCAAAAGGGATGCGGCCAACCTGGAGAGGGTTCAGAGGAGGGCCACCCACTTGGTGAGAGGGCAGCAGGACAGGCCCTACGAGAGAGACTGAAGGACCTGAACCTGTTCAGCCTCAGCAAGAGGAGGCTGAGGGGGGACCTGGCCAAAATCTGGAACCAACTTCCCAGGAAGGTGGTCCTCGCCCCTACCTTGGGCATATTCAAGAGGAGGTTGGATGATCACCTGTCTGGGGTCTTGTGAGGCTAGATGATCTGTTCAGGTCCCTCCTGACCCTAGCTACTATGAAACTATTAATACTTTTTGCGTTAAACCATGTTCGGATAAAATGCAGAAACAGTTCTTGATGCAGGGACTAGAAAGTTTCAAAGAAAAATTACCTACATGCAAATCAAATATAAGCTGGTAGCTGAAGTGACAGCCTCAACTAAACCATTTCATTCCACTTCCCTGCTCTTACTTTTCATGTGTGATTTAATAGACAAAACATAGGCTTTAATTTTCCTCTACCATCCATCCCAACATGCAGTTATTGCCAAGTAGCTGCTTCACTTTACACACTTTTGTTGTTGCATTCAGAGCTTGCACAGGTCTGGGCATGTAATAATGGAAGATTTCAGTGAATGACCAGGAACCAGACTTGTGTCTAGTATAGTGAATGAGAATCATTTGGCTCCAGAGAAGAGAAGAGAAAGTAGAAACAAAGGAACTCTGAAGAAAGAGGTAAAAGAAAGATGAGGAAACTCCTTCCCTCTCACTTGAACAATAAGAACAAATTGCTGTCACCAGAGTAATCTATTTCCTGCCAGACCTGATGCCTGTGAGGTTCAAATCACTCAAACTAAAATGAATGAAAAAAATACAGCAGAAATATTTTGTACTTATAGAACCAAAGGAACTGGAAGTTAGCCTTGTTCTGTTCTTAAATTAACAGTATTAAATGTATTTATGTTTCAATTGATACTTTAAAATGTGAGGTTTTCTTCTTTGTGCACAGCAACAAGAAAAGGCACTCATCTGGGAACAATAGCTAGTCAGCTCGTAAAGTCATTAGAGGGAACATTTTTGCTGCCTACCATGCAGAGCAATTTTGCTTTTGGGCAATCGTCCAGATCACTTACAGAGTCTACCTATAAAAATCAGGGACCCCAAAAAAAACCAAAAACCCCTTCACTGATTTTTCTGCTAATGCACACCACTAGATCAGTGAAAAGAATATCTGATCTTAAATGTGCATTAATTGGCTGCTATTCTTTTAAAAGCAAGTGCTTAAAGACTCAAGCATGAAATATAGGCCCATTTCTTTAAAATGTAGCTGATTTTTAGATCCACTTGCATCTTGCTTTTAAATGGCAGAATTCTGTTTGTTAAGTATGTTCATAACACTTGGCATGAACATACTCTTCAGCGTACTATCAATTCTAGTTTTAACTGTATCTTGGGACTAACAAAGCCAATGCATCATACATCTGGGATTGGCAGGAAGAGTGACTAGATGACTTCATGTTGGGAGTTTTAGCCTTAGCCTTGTCGTTTGGGAGGTACACTGGCAAATGTTCCACATTCTCTCTCATGGCTGGACTTCTATTACTCATGGAAGAGCATCTGTTTCAATTGGATTTATGAGATTGTGGGGGAGGGAGGGGGGTGTCCCATAGTCACTGACAACTGCAGCTCAGCCAGGACCACAAGCTGTCAGCAACTGTCAGCATCCCAGGCCTGCTGCCCCCTCACATTTCCTCACTGTGGGGAAGGGTGACTTGGCATGTTGCCAGTGAGTGTGAGCAGGCAGGCTGTACTCTACCAGTACTGCTCTCAGTGACCATCCAGAGTGGAACATGTTGGGATGCTGGGGGACCAAGAGACCCATAACAGCTCTGTGGCACACTACAACACTTCTGTGGCTATTACTACAAAATGGAGCACTCCAGAGAATTTCTTGTTTCATCCAGGAACATTTTTGTAGCACTATAGGCTGCATACATCTCTGTATGTTCAATTTTTCATAGTGCTACAAAGGCATGTGATATCTGCCTGTACTCACACTTGGGAATGTGTGCACAGGAAAGAATGAAAAGAGTTGATTTTTTCAAAAGTGTGAAACAGTTGTTGGGAGTTGTTCTGTTTACCAGTACTTTTTGGAAGAAAAATGTTTGCCTCCTCCCAATCTCCAAAAAAAAAAAAAAAAAAAAAAAATCTTAATGAGCTAGAGATTTAGGAACTATTAAGCACACTGCACTGGATGTGCATGCATTTTGCTGAATACTAATGCACAATGTATTACAAAACTTTACCTACTATGTTTTCCCCACTGTTCTTCCATGGCTAGCAGATCATAGGGATCATCCCATTTCACAGACAGAACCTAAGGGAGAGCAGTTAAGTGAGCTGACTGGTCACAAAGGGACCATAGAACACCCCTTTATACTTACTCCTATAATGGATCCACTGGTCTAATTAACTGTGAAATTCTGTCACTTGAGACGAAGTGATGTTGGCTGGTCAGGAGAGTTAACTCAGTTGCCACCACTGAAGGGAACCTGGGATAGCAACAGTACCATTTATGGTACCTTGGGTGCCACTCTCCTCAATGGCAAACTTATTTGGTTTCCTCAGGGACTGTGGTCCTAGATTTCCTAAAGATCAGCAGCGAGGTGATAGATAAAGACTGTCATCTTATGTAAAAAAGGTCAATGTTACAAGTTTGTCCCCAAAAGTTTGTTTACATTGTCAAAAAGTATTTTAACATGGAAAAGAATCTAGATTAAAAAAAAACATCTCTTCAGGAGTGAGGAATGAAGAAAAACTGCATTTGGAGTCACCTTTGAATCATTTCGAGCCTGGCAGCAGCTTTGAAACTGCACCTACAAGCAAATCCTAATGCTTACAAGGTAAAGCAACCCAGTGTGTAGCAAGCTTTTTAAGTCTTACCTTATGGATCTGCTATATTACAAGTGACAGACCAGCACATTATTATTGTTACAAAGTTCCCTGAAATAAATGGAAAACCTATACAAGATTCAAGACAAGTTTTTCAATGTAACACAAAAGTGACAGAAGCCCAGTCCCACTGAACAAACCTATATTAAACAACTGTTGAATAAGACCTCTTAAGCTTTTTACAGGTCACAATAAATAGAAGGAAAATATGCAAGACAGACTGCTGTGAAATATTTCAGTTCACTTTTTAAATAGTCTTAGATCTTTAATTATGAAGATAAATAACAGATCATCTGATCCAGTGTTAAACAATTGTGTAAAATGAGTGGCTGATAGTTGTCCCAAAATATCTCCACAGGATTTCCTGTAGAAAAGAATATATAAAAGGTTTCATTTTTCCTATCACAGAAGTCCTTGAGCATCAATTTTTGGTGCTGGATTCTAGCAAGTCTTTGGCCTCGTTTATTTTTGCTGCTAAGTAAGGTGATCCACCTGAAAGAAAAGGGATGGGGGAGAAGATTTATATGTCAGAATGAAAGATGATATCATGCAGTTTAAGGAATCCCTTTAATTACTGGTGATGTCTTTATTAGTCCTCTCCCCCTAAAAATCCTTTAAAAGATAACTTTAATTTTAAAATGTCACTAATATAAATTGAAATACTGGCTGAAGACATGTGATAAATATACAGACAAAATCATAGTCACTGAAAAATAATGCACAGCAGTAATTTCAAAGAAATGAAGTCTTAATAAAATGTCTTATTATCTTCTGAAATGATCTTACACTAGCATCAACCTCCATGATTTAGACTTGAGTTGCATTACTGGTAGCCACATGAAGCAAGGCCCTCTATCTGGAACAGTACATTTAATACTAATAGCTAGGATTTTTTTCCTTAAAAATTATCTGTGAAAAAAACAATTATAAACAAGTTTCTGACAAAGAATCATTAAGATCACACACCAAGCCAATCCCGTTCTAGAGACATGGAAATACCAGCCAAAAACTGTCACATTAAAGGTATTTAAACACGGTATGCCTTCTAACTTCTAGTCTTGAACACTGTCATTGCTTTACGCTCCATCTAACAATTTGATTACAGTTCAGCAGTCTTTTTGTGTTTGTTTTTTCACTCTCCCCTTGAGTGCCAGCCATCTGCCTACAGCCACTGAAAACAACATTAAAAGGTCTATAGTAGTACTTACCACTCCCTAGAATACACCTATATTCTTGTACCTAAAAACATGGTTTCAAAAGCAGTATGCTCTAAACAGCCCTGTCCTATGCATTTGTTCTGATGAATGAAAAATTATGAACAAAAAATTAGAGACACTTATAGGTATTAGTTTTAAAGTAAAAGCAGTTTTAGAAGGAGACAGAGCTGTGGCTTGCAAATCTTAAGAACTTCACTAGGACTTTCAGATCAGAAATTTGAATTGCCACTTACATGTTTCCAGATATAAAACTGTAACAACTGAATAAAGTTATGGAAGCGTTTTTTCTTTTAATCTTGTTTTAACATATTTAGTAAAATATGTGGGATGGGAATGCTTAGATCAGGGCTGCCAAACTAGCAGCCTGTGAGAGGTTAATGTGCAGCCCCTGGGCTCTCACTGACAACTGCTCTCTCACATTGCTCTGGCTGCTTCCTCTAGCTGCCACTTCCTGCTTTTGCCCCAGGAGGACAGGGCAATGTGGGGAGCTGAGGGTAACTGGGGCCATGCCTGGGGGGTGGTAATTGCACTCGCATGGCACAGCAGTGGGCGGAAGTGTTTGTATGGTGGCCCATGCAACATGCAGTTTTCACTGGTAAGGCCCCCAGGGGCTTAGAAGTTGCACAGCCCTGGTTCAGAAAGGTAAGTCATATTTTTCTACTTGGCTTGTTAGCAAACTTACTAAAGTTTTTCTCAAAGAGGAAGAGACAAGAGGATTGAACAATAAAAGATGACAGACTGTAGAAACCAAAAGCAGAGGCATTTTCACCATGTCTTTGTTTTTTTTTAAGTGCCAAGAGTGCTTTTACTCAAAGCAGATTAACATTTTTGAAAGTTTTTTTTACAACATGCAATACCTTTAAGTGCAAGATCAATGAGGGCAGCACTCATATAATCACATGACTGAATTATTTAATACTAGCGCAGGTCTGTATTTCTTGATAATATGAGTTCTTCTTTGTGGGAATGTAAGTATTTATAAAATGATAAATAAAAAGATTTATAAAAAGAAAAATGATTCTTTAGATCAGATATGTCAAATGTATGGCTCACAGCTCTTGTCATCTTTTTTGGATTCACAATCCTAAACATCTACTGATAGAAGTCAATCTGTTCTCCCCCCTCCCCCACCCCTGGGCTTAGGTGGCTAACATTGTATTTTCTGTAACATAGTTGCATTCCCCCCCCATACCTCTAATGTTAGTCCCTTGCTCGGGCGATTTGTTTTTCCCTACTGGCTTTGTCATCTTTTTGGATTCACAATCCTAAACATCTACTAATAAAATTTAGTCTGCAGAGATGGGAGAAGGAACAAAAATTAGAGGGGAGGGCCTGTAGCCTAAATTCTGGGACTGGAGCCCCATTGGCCATTCATGTAGGTAGTAGGGAGGGGCAAATGATTGCTGCGTTAAGCACCTGCTTGTCCTTCTGTCGCTGGATGTAGCCCAAGAGGAGTCCTGAGGTCCGGAGCAGGCCCTGGGGCAAGGTGAGTTTAATTTTGATGCTTTAGATGTTGAAATCTTTTCCTTTAAAAAAACAAAACTATTTAAGAAGTGCCATGCTGGTTCAGACTAATCTAGCCCAGTTATCCTGTCTCCAACAGTAGCAGAAGGGGATGCCAAAGGAGGAGAGCACTGAATCGGATCTCTCTTGAACAGAAGTGCTCAACTTTTTTGCCTGGCGGGCCAGATGGGCAGTGCCTGGTCAGTCCACAGGAAGGAACAGGGGTTGACTCAGCCCAAACCCAGCCCTGTGGAGGTTGGAGAGGGGTGGTGTGGCCCTAACCTGGCCCTATAGAGGAAGGGGGGATGGCCTGACCCTGTAGGGGGAAGGGGCACTGCCCAGCCCAAAAACCTGGCTCTGTGGGGGGTGGGAAGGGGGGAGAGGGCTTGATATAGCCCTAAACCAGACCCATGGTGGGGAAGGAGAGGTGGCCCAGCCCTGTGGGCAGAAGACGGTGTGGCCCAGCCACACCGGGGGGGGGAGGGGGAGGGGCAGGGTGCGTGGCCTGGCTCCAACCCACTGCCCGCTTGAGGTTTGGGAATTTGGCAGCACGGGAGGGTGGCCAAATTAACTGCCACTGCTCCTCCACAGCCAAATGTCCTGACTGTTGGGAGGGTCTGTGGGCTGGATGCTAAGGCTCCATGGGCTGCATCTGGCCTGCAGGCCAGAGGTTGAGCACCCCTGCTCTAGAATGATCATTCAATACCTTCCCTGGCATCCACTATTTTGGTAGCTTTGGTGGGGAGGTTATTTATTTTAAATTTTGATGTCCTCAAATTTCCATTCTTTTTTTCATAAATAGTATGTGTAACAGGTTTTACTCAGCCATTACTGTCCTTTTTTCCTTTAGTTCCAATTGGCTTCTGTGACTGTACACTGTTTTACGTTCTGATCCTAACACTTGAATCCTACAGAAGTCACATGGACGTATGAATTTCCCTTGTGCAGATGCTGTTATGAGTTTAGGATCTATGGCCCCATTTTAAAACTGAAAGCATAGAGGGGAGTTCTTGAGCCTAGAAGTACAATAATTAATATCTATGCTTGTACTCCCAGTTATGGGAGCAGGACTATATTTTTTAGGGTATGTTTGCACAGCACCTGTGGTGGGCTTGGGAGTGTTATTGAAAAGCATGCCCTACCTCCTCCCTCCTACTCAGCACATGGCAAAGCATGGAAAGTAAGCAATGCAGGTAATTTAGCATGGTCTAGATCTGTTCTCAAGCCCTCTGCCTCAGGCATGCTTCCTGATATGTGCACTAGATCTGCTACATTGCCTAATTTTTGGGCACTGGCACATGGTGAGTGGGAGTAAGTGAGCATGGCATGCTTCTCATTGGTGCTTTTAGGCACAGTGTGGAGGCAGTGTACACAAGGCCTTTGTGTTTGTGCATCCCTTGGGAACAATGGAGCTTAGATCCTAACTGGAGTCTCTGGGTGCTATCACAACAGAAATTATGATATTATTTTATTCTAAATTTTAACATACTGAATGCTCTAATAGTATGTGGAACTTGAGCACAGAAAGGTAATTAGCCATGTTCATCTGAAGTCAGGAAGAAGGCAGGCTGGATTTGCACCTTACAGACTAAATAAACCAGAGATGCATAAGCTTTCATAAATGGCAGCTGACTTCAGCAACAGGGATCCTGGTTTTCTCCAATTAAAAAAAATCCCCAATTTTCGGATTTAAAAAAAGCAACTCGAAATTCACATTTTTCCGTGATTAAAATGAAACACCACGTACGTGTGTGTGTGTCTCTTATAGTGGTGTTTCATTTTGATCATGGACAAATGTGGATTTTGGGTTACTTTATTTAATCCTAAAATTGGGGATTTTTTTAATGAAAGAAAAACCAGGATCCCTGTTCACCATATAACATCAGATGCTATATGGTAAAGTAAGCTGCTGTTCATGAAAGCTTATGCATTTCTGATTTACAGATTCATAGACATTAGGGCTAGAAGGGACTTTGTGAGATAATCAGGTCCAGCTCCCTCACCAAGGGGCAGGAAGTCAGTTGGGGTCAGATCACCCCAGCAAGATCAGCATCCAAGTGTTTCTTAAAAGTATCCAAAGTAGGTGCTTGCACCACTGGTGAGGGGAGTCTATTTCAGACTCTGGAGACTCAGACGGTAAAGAAATTTTTCCTTATGGCCAGTCTAAAATGGCCTTCCAGCAATTAAGTTAGTCTGTAAGGTGCAAATGTAGCATTTGAACCATCATGATATATGACATATACGTATATATTCTCTACATATACAATAGCAAATTATTTTCCTTATTTTGGGCTCCAGAGTTTATACATTTGAAAAAGCATTAAAAAGAAAACACACAAAGCAGAATGACAGGGGATGTCTAGTAAGCAAGACTGTTTAGGAATTAAACTAAGGAAACAATAGGGCTAAAATAAACACTATCATTACCAGTGGGCCCAGGTTTTTGTGTGTGTTTATTTTGTTAAGACAGGGGTGAAAACCTGTAAATCCATCAACAAGATATAAAAACCTTCACTTCCCCCTTTTGACTTTTGAAATACAGTGCAACTCTTTACCATCTGTTATTTTAAAGTAGAAACAGCAATGAACATATGGGCTTTCTTTCTCAACCAGCTGTAGTGTAGTTAAAGTTATAATAATAGCCTTTCTGTAAGATAAATTTACGTTAAAAAACCTGGCCAGCAAAGCAACTGCGCCCAGCTTTATAGTTTTCCGGAATGAGTTTACAAAACCAAAAATCCATTCATGATCTACTTAGTGACTGTAAAATATTTCCCTGTGCAAACTCACTTCAAACAGCTCAATGGCATTAACATTAAAGGGGCCTTGAAAGCTACTATCTTCCCTTTTTCTGGTCAACTGCTTGCATCATTAATTGGTGGGCCATGAGCTAAATTTCATGACTGGAACAGTGTTGTTCTAAATAATGACCTGAATGACAAGAGTTGTAACCTACCTCTGTTATAGTTCATGAAGCTTGTTGGTTTTATTTAAAAGAGGCAACCATACATAAACCCAATTTTTTACAAATTAGATATATAGCATAAGATTTTATGATTATAAAGGGTTAGCTAGAATGAGCCTAAAAAACTGAAAGGACCTCATGGTGTGCTCATTTTCACCCAATATTCAGAAAAATAAGAATGGCATACCTTTATCAGGGTGATTCAGAATCATGATTCTCCTGTGAGCTGTTCTAATCTTGGCCTTGCTAGCAGATGGACTGTAAAAATAAATTGAGGTGATTACCATAAATAGTATCATACTCTGACTGAAAATTAAGAGTTTGTACTGGGCTTCACAAAATTAGAACTAGAGATTTTCACCATCTTGTGGACAAAACACATAATTGCACCTTCAAGGAAGTAATAAGATATTTAAAGAACAGTGGAGAGGAAATATGCATTTTTTAAAAAGCCAGTAGACTGGCTTTTGGCTCTTCCAAAATTCTAAGAGTTACTCCCCTATTAAAGTTAATCAATACAATGTATATACTAACAATATGTAGAGAAAACATATATAAGGCCTATTTTCTCCCTTTATTTGTTAAGAGTGCCAGTAAAACTGCTTTTCTGGAAAATGGTTATTTGTATGACTAATGACTAAGTGTCTCGTGTTTATATACAAGTGTATAAAATATAGTAATATTAAATAATTCCTCATTCTGGTGAGGTCTGAAAACCATGCATTTATTATTTTTGCAAATGTGCTCAATGTGTTACACTTGGGGACATGTTGATTTACAAGTGCTACATAATGTTGTTCCATTCAATGACAGGTAGATAAAATATGCACTTTAACTAAATTAAATATGTACCTTACCAGACAAATAACCACTTATGGATGCAATGGACCAATACAGGCTCTGGTGTGCGGAAGAATGTTTATATTTAAATCTGCATGATTTAGTTCTTTGAATTTGTTAGCATGGATAATGCAGCTATCATTTGCAATGTTTTTCATTTCTTGAGATGCCTGGTTAATCAGCAACAATCTAATTAATCAGTTACTATCTTTGTGGATTTAACCCTAGTCTGTGCTGGAATGCAAAGTCTCAGCCTAAATATATTAATGAAGTAAACAACCTGTAAGCAGTCTCTTAAGAGTTCTACAGATCTACAAAGGATCTGGCAATAACCCCTATAAGTTAAGCCAAGCTATCTCAGTTGCAGGGCCAAACCCATTATTAATTTTTTAATAAAACTACTCTGAAACAATTTTCCCTCCCTTACATTGGAGACAGCAGTAGCTGCTCTATAGTTAAAGCAGAGTTATATTCTACTCTTAAGAGTTTCAACTCTAGAGGTCTCTTGCTTTTTCTCCACTCTGCATCAGGACAGTAGTACTGCCAGAGCTCTTAACATGCACAAATATTTAAACCTGGGGTTTGGGCTCTCTTGCCCCGCTAGCATTCCAAAGATCAAAATCACCAGTATATTCTGACTGTTTAAACATTCTGCCTGTGCAAAACGTGGTTAAACCATCAGTAAATTCTGACTGCATCATGCAATGTGACTGTGTCAATGAATCTGTTCCTAAAATTACAATTTAATAAGTGATTTAAAGTTGCCAATGCACATCCTGTAATTAGAAATATTTGATGGTATTACGCCCTTTGTGGCTCTGTCTTAATTTTCATATTTTAAATATTTGCTAGAATTTCCATACATTTAAAATATTAACATGAAAAATTACACTGAAATATACTTGTTGATGATACAAACCCACAACCTTAAGGAAGAGGAATGGTGTTATCTTTGAAATGTAACCTAAATCTTCAGCTGCATTGATTTACAATGCTTTGTTTTAGGGATAATTACAATATCCCTGTAATGTGCCTGACCCTTAAGTTATGGACCCTTAAGATATCTGTAACTTAAGTCCTGCCTGATGTGGGCACACGGGCCTGTTCTGTATCCTTGGCTCTTTCAAACAGAGTAAAACAAAAGCAAATTAAGGATCCACTGAAAGAAAGACAATAAAAGATGTTAATGCATTTTTTGATATATTAACACAATATAGACTGTGGTCACAGTTCACACCTGGTCTCTCCAATTTTCAAGTAAAATTGTGATGATAAGGGTACATGATGGTCTGCTAGAGATTTTGAAAGTGCTCTGCTGGTATATAAATGTCTGGGAACACTGATCTACAGTGTTGCAGATGTCAATTTTTAGAGAGATTGGAGTAGGTAATCATGCTAGCACACCACGTGCTATTTTGATTTTATCAGTAGCATTAAGTTTTCTGCAGCAGTGTGTCTGGCCTGAAAGTGTCAACAAACTGTATAGTTTATTTTTTATCATCATCATCATCATCTTCACAGCTTAAATAGAATCTTAAAATGGTTTTCAAAACAGAAGTTATAACTATGGCCAGATATTGCCACAAATTCTTGCACCATGTATTTTTCCATTCAAGTTTGGTCAAAGAACAAAAATGGTACTAATAGAGCACACCTACCTTATGCCTAAAATGAGACTAGCTTCTCGCCTACTCATTTTCTGTTCAAATCCACCTTTATAGTAGGATGAAAGACTCTACAGGGAAGAGAAAAGCCAGAAAATAATTAGTTCCATGCACGTGTCATGACCTCAATCCTATTATTTGACCCTAGCTAAGGTACTGCATTTGACTAGAACAGCTTTTAAAGTGATAAATCTACTGAAAAACAGATATGGGCAGAAAGGAATTCTATAGTGTTAACTCACAGAAAATCTGAACCTCACAAAAGTTATAGGGTTGTGTTTTATAATGTTGGAAAAATGATAAAGGACAGTGATTGCTGCAGCCATCAGTTTGGTTGATTGAGAGTGCCTGCCCTTAAGCAGGGGAACCTCGCAGTCTAGATTTTGCACAGAGAGAAAATGTGTGTTAATGTATGTGGTACATAGATTCATGATTTCATTCTCCCTGACATTTGGGACTAGCTTTTGATCTGGTATGTATTATTACCTCAAAACTGACAAGGACATCTTTAGTACTGTCAAACCCCCCCAACAACAACAACACCAACTGGCAAGGAGCTCAATATCAGAATTGTTCAAAGGGTGATAGGTGCCCTTTTCAAAAACAACCAAGCAACTCAGAAGCTGGTGTTCCATTTTCAAGAGACTTAGGCACCTACATGCTTTTAAAAGTGATGTCCAACATTCCTGTCCCACACCTTTAATAGGACTGTACAGTACTAGGTTGGTGGTGAGGGAAAAGAGTGCTTCCACCTTGAATTACCTCATTCAATGAGGTTTAGCTAAAGTACCCCCGCAACCATTTTAAAATATGTGGGAGGCTTAATACGCATGACAGTGATAGTACACTGGAGCATTCTAACTAGAACGCAAATGAGCACATGTATAGGCAGCAAAAGGAAATTGGACATAAAAGTCACGTTTTTTCTACGTGAGGGTTTGGTCAATAGAGGTCAAAGCATTATGGAAAATATAGCTGATGGGCAGTTTTTTAAACATTAAGGAAGAGACATTTTGCTTTACACGTGCTATTAATAGTAGAATAGATAAGCTGTCCACCTGCTGATACTTCAAGTTCTGCAGCCTTATTACCAGGGTCCCTTATATGTTGTGGTTTAATAGGTCATGCAAGTTAATTGTTTCTTGCATGTGCCCTATTAAAGGGTGTAAAGAAAATATGAAATAGTTTTGGTTTGATCTATGAAGCATGTACTTTCTCTTGCCAATTTGGGCTACGATACATTTAAAATCTTTCCCTAGCACTGTTATCACAAGGGATCCTAGTTTTCTCTGATGAAAAAAAAAATATCCCCAATTTTCAGATTAAAAAAGTAACCCAAAATCCATATTTTTCTGTGATTAAAATGAAACACCACTAATATATATCTATCTATACACACACGTGTGTGTGTGTATCCATCCCTGTGTGTGGACTATGCATGTATTATTATCATCCCTGTATGTGGACTAAATATGTATTATATATATATATCCAAATATCCCTGTATGCGGACTAAGCATCACATTGGCCACGTCAAGATAAGTGCGGCTGTGCAGTACGTGGCGCTGCAGACATGTCTGCAGCGCCACATACTGCACATTCAGGTGTTCTCTGTGATGCAAGGTAGCACGCAAAAAAAAAGGAGGGCGGCACACATGGGGATAGTATACACCGCCCAAAACCAGAGCCAGGTCAGATGGAGTCACACTCTGACTGCCAGCCCGATTCCAAGCGGGAGGATCACTGCTGCTGCAGCCCTAGGAGGTCCTCAGGATCCCAGGTAAGGCTCCTGGGACCAGCCCAGTGCTGGCCCCAGCCTGCCCTACCCCACCCACGGTAACTTGCTGTGTGCCAGATGGTACGTGACACAGGTGTTCCCCAGAGACAACTATCAGCCGCTGCTTCTTGTCCTTGGAGAAACAAATGTCCATGCTTGTGTGGATGCGTTCATTGTGTCTGTTTCTTTTTAAGCGTTATGTCTCAGCATCTCCAAACACACTCATTGAAAAGATGACACAAGAAAATGCCACAAAACAGATGTTATATAATAGCTAGTTATTAGAGTTATAATGTACTGTACATGTCGTGAACCCCAAGATCACTTTCATTTTCACAGACTTTCTACCTTCTTCACTTTATGACACTTGGAGAAGCCCATTACAAACTTGATTACCCTGTTAACTTCATTGAACCACAGATGATCTGACCCCCTCCCCCCCAATCTGATTTTTAGCATCAGTCTTATGATACTCTGAGAGAAGAGCAGCGACCAAGGAGAAGCAAACAGGATACAGTGGAGTCGCATCATACACGCATTTAACTTACACGAATTTAACTACACGTGCTCGGCAAAAAAAAGAGAGAGAAAAACAACAATTTAAATAGTGCGGGCGATTCCGCCTGCCATTCCACTCAGAGTTCCCGCCTCTCATAATGTGAGCATCTCGCCGCGCTGAGTGTGATTCTAGTGTTTAAAGATACGTATTTTTTGTACAACATGGCCCCTAAACGCAAGCCAACTACTTCATCTGGTGCTCAACTGAAGAAACAGTGATCTGTTCCAACGTTGGCGGAAAAACTGGCTGTGTTGGACTTATTGAGAGACGGTATGTTGGTCTCCAACGTGGCGCACTCTTCTTGACCTACTGCTCACGAACAGGGAAGACTTGGTGGGGAATATAGAAGTGGATGGCAATTTGGCCAGAAGTGACCACGAGATGATCGAGTTCAGGATCCTGACAAAAGGAAGAAAGACGAGCAGCAGAATATGGACCCTAGACTTTAGAAAAGTAGACTTTGACTTTCTTAGGGAACTGATGGGCAGGATCCCCTGGGAAGCCAGTCTAGGAGGAAAGGGGTCCAGGAGAGCTGGTTGTATTTTAAAGAAGCCTTAATGGCGCAGGAACAAGCCATCCTGATGAACAGGAAGAATAGCTAATGTGGCAAGCAACCAGCTTGACTTAGGGCAGAACTTTTTGGTGAGCTTAAACACAAAAAGGGCACTTACCAGAAATGGAAGCTTGGATAAACAACTTGGGAGGAATATAAGAATATTGTTCAGGCATGCAGGGATGAAGTCGGGAAGGCCAAAGCTCATTTGGAGTTGCAGCTAGCAAGGGATATGAAGGGTAACAAGAAGGATTTCTACAAGTATGTTAGCAACAAGAGGAAGGTCAGGAAAAGTCTCTTACTGAATGGGGGAGGCAACCTAGTAACAGATGAAGAAAAGGCTGAAGTACTCAATGCTTCTTTTACCTCGGTCTTCACAGACACAGTCAGCTCCCAGACTACTGCACTAGGCAGCACATTTTGAGGAAAAGGTCATCAGTCATCAGTGGTGAAAGAAAAGATTAGGGACTGTTTAAAAAAGCTGGACGTGTACAAGTCCATGTGCTGGATGCAATGAATCTGAGGGTGCTGAGGGAGCTGGCTGCTGTGATTGCAGAGCCACTGGCCATTATCTTTGAAAACTTGTGGTGATCCTGGAGGTCCTGGACAATTGAAAAAAGGCAAATATAGTATCCATCTTTAAGAAAAGGAAGGAGGATCCAGGGACCTACAGACCAGTCAGCCTCACCCCAATCCCCAGAAAAATCATGGAGCAGGTCCTCAAAGAATCCATTTCTAAACAATTGGAGAAGAAAGTGATTAGGAATAGTCAGCATGGATTCACCAAGGGCAAGTCATGCCTGACCAACCTAATTGCCTTCTATGATGAGATACCTGGATGAGATACCTGTGGATACGGGGAAAGCAGTGGACATAATATACCTTGACTTCAGCAAGGCTTTTGATACCATCTTCAACAGCATTCTTGCAAGCATGCTGAGGAAGATGGTTTGGATGAATGGACTGTAAGGTGAATAGAAAACTGGCTGGATTGTTGGGCTCAACGGGTAATAATCAATGGCTTAATGTCTAGGTGGCACCCGTTATCAAGTGGAGTGCCTCAAGGGTCGGTCCTGGGGCTGGTTTTGTTCAATATCTTCATTAATGATCTGGAAGATGGGATGGATTGCACCCTCAGCAAGCTTGCAAATGAAACCAAACTGGAGGTATAGTAAATTCACTGGAGGGTAGGGATAGGATTCAGAGTGACCTAGACAAATTGGAGGATTGGGCTAAAAGAAATCTCCGAGGTTCAACAAGGACAAGGGCAAAGTCCTGCACTTAGGATGGAAGAATCCCATTTACTGCTATAGCCTGGGGACTGATTGGCTAAGGAGCAGCTCTGCAGAAAACGACCTGGGGGTTACAGTGAACAATAAGATGGATATGAATCAGCATTGTGCTCTTGTTGCCAAGAAAGCTAACAGTATACTGGACTGCATTGGTAGGAGCCTTGCCAGCAGATTGAGGGAAGCAACTATTCCCCTCTATTCTGTACTAGTGAGGCCACATCTGGAGTACTGTGTCCAGTTTTGCCCCCCCATAGAAAGGATATGGACAAATTGGAGTGTGTCCAACGGACGGCAATGAAAATGGTAAGGGGGCTGGGGCACATGACTTATGAGGAAAGGCTGAGGGAACTAGGTTTATTTAGTCCACAGAAGAGAAGGCGGGATCTGATAGCAGACTTTAACTACTTGAAGGGTGGTTCCGAAGAGGATGGAGCTAGATTGTTCTCAGTGGTGACAGATGACAGAAAAAGGAGCAATGGTCTCAAGGGAGTTTTACGATGGATATTATGAGAAACTCTCTCACTAAGAGGGTGGCGAAGTACTGGAATAGGTTCCCTAGGGAGGTGGTGTAATCTCTATCCTTGGAGGTTTTTAAGACCTGGCTTGATAAAGCCCTGGCTGGAATAATCTAGTTGGGAATGGTCCTGCTTTGAGCAGGGGGTTGGACTAAATGACCTCCTGAGGTCCCTTCTAATCCTAATTTTCTATGATTCTATGAATCTGAATCCAACTGGGAAAGAACAGATTGTAAAATAATATTGTACCTCATGTTTGCTACGGAGAAGACATTTTTTCCCTTCTTGAATAGGGAAATTCCATGACTGAAGGGTACATGGGCTAGAGGGTTTTTTTCTTAGAATGAATACTTTTAACAGTTGTATTTTCATATACATCAATTCAACTAAGATACCTCTTTTCACTAATTACTAGGGGTGCACTGATAAAGATTTTTGGGGGTGATACCGATAGCCGATTTTTGATACAGCTGCATGCAGCTGGTAAGTCTGGTGTGGTGGAAGGTGGGGGTGGGGAAGGAAAGGGACGTGGGGGCACTGATCAAGGCCTCCGCAGTGAAGGAGGGAGTGGGGCTGGGGCTTGGGAAAGCACTACCCAGCTGGGGCAGGGCAGCTCTCACTGCTGTGCACATCCCAGGAGGTGATGGAGGGGGGGTGCCCCTGATCTGGCAGGGTGCAGGCAGGACGGGCTGAAGCTGTGGGCTGGGACTGACACCACGGGCTGACCAGGCAGGCAGTGCTTGGAGAGGGCTATGGGGGAGGGAGGCAGTCACCCCAAAAATCACCGTATACACCCCATAGCCCTCCTCCCAGTGCTGTCTCTGCCTGCCCCATGCAGATCTGGGGGCACACGCTTCCCCATGCCCTCCTGGACGAGCGATGGGATCAGTGGCG